TCTTCTTAGTATCTTCTGCTTTCTGTTAGGTCCATACCATTTCTGTCCTTTATTGTGCCCATCTTTGAATGAAATGTTCCCTTGGTATCTCTAATTTTCTTGCAGGCAGTCTGGTCTTTCCCATTCTATTGTTTTCCTCTATTTCTTTGCATTGATCACTGAGAATGGCTTTCTTATCTCTCCTTGCTATTCTTTGGAACTCTACATTCAAATGGGTGTATTTTTCCTTTTCTCCTTTGCCTTTTGCATCTCTTCTTTTCACAGCTATTTGTAAGGCCGCCTCAGACAACCATTTTTCCTTTTTGCATTTCTTTTTCTTGGGGATGGTCTTGATCACCACCTCTGATACATTGTCACAAACCTCCATCCATGGTTCTTCAGGCACACTGTCTATCAGATCTAATCCCTTGAATCTATTTGTCACTTCCACTGTATAATCATAAGGGATTTGACTTAGGTCATACCTAAAAGATCTCAGACACAAGAAAAAAATAACTAAAGAATGCCTGAAGAACAAACACCAAATTGAAAGAGAAGAGAAATGTGTGCAGCTTTACTGTTGACACCACAGCCATACCAGACAGCATTCTTCATTTGATCCATATACCAAAGCATATTTGAGCCTGCTGATAGTAGAAGATCTCAGACACAAGAAAAAAATAAAAGTGCCTGAAGAACAAGCACCCAAATTGAAAGAGAAGAGAAATGTGTGCAGCTTTGCTCTTGACACCACAGCCATACCAGACAGAATTATTCATTTAGTCCATATACCAAAGTGTATTTGAGCCTGCTGATAGTAAAAGATCTCAGACACAAGAAAAAATAACTAAAGAATACCTGAAGAACAAGCGCCCAAATTGAAAGAGAAGAGAAATGATGATAGAGATGGGCGATCTGTTTAAGGGGTTAGAGATGGTTTGTATCAAGAAACCCAGGCTCTCTCATCTGAACCAAAATATCAGTGATCATGACAAACAGGACAAGAAAAATAAAATATAAGAATTCTGAAGCTCTTATGTCACGAGAGGGAACATCCTGTTTTGTTAGAAGGTACTCCCCACCTCAGGATCTTTTTTTAAGGACATGAACAATATCTGCAGCCACTTTTATAAGCGAACACAGAGATGTTCTAGACCTTCCATAGACACAGCAACCACTGGTCACACCGGCTCTTGAGCACTTGTAATGAGGCTAGTGTGAACAGAGATGTGCCACGAGGGTAAAACAAACACAGGATTTAAAAGATAATGTGAAAAAATTGTATTCCTGAAAATTCTAACTCACTGATGACTACTTTTGTCCCGTTATTTAACACAGCCCGATGCTGAAAGATTGCTTCATCCTGAAAGATAATTCCAGCTGCTTGTCTGATCTGTTCTTGGTAGGATTGATTCCTGAAAAATATCCTTTGAGGCTCTGTACATTATTCAGATTTGAATGATTTTTAAGTACACCGTTGCTTGCTTTCTTTGTTGAGTGACAACATTCATCTGTGGTTTAGAAGCAAACCTCGTATACAGTAATGTAGTTCACCTTTTATTTACAACTTGGAAAACCTGCAATTACTTCTGCATTGCTCTGTTGTCTGCCAGTTCCAGGACTACAGTAATTTTCTTTTATTTAGCAAACATTTATTAAGTACCTATTCCATGCAAGGCATTGTGCTTCCCTGAATTTAGACATGTTGGATTCAGTGCCAATGGGACTTCAAAGTATAACCATCCAGGGGGCCTTAGATGCCTCTAGAAGTGAAAGGAAATGTAGACTGTGTCAAATATATTTATTATAAATCTGCACAGTCATTTGCTCAAGAAAAATTGAGATGTTTAACTTCACATATCTTCAAAGAGATGCAGATTAATAAAAGGAAGAGTGCTTTCTAATATGCATAGAATTGTCTAATTGAAAAAATACTCAGAACAGTATTGTGCTCCAACTAGGAGGCACATAGCCTGTTGGTAGAAATCTAAATTGGTTTAAGTTTTTTTGGGGAAAAAAAAATTTAGCCATGAATGGTAAACAAGAAATTGTGTTACTCTTTAATTTAATAATCTCACTCCAGAAGATTTATCCCCAGAACATGAATCAAAAGACAAAATCCCTGTGCGTCTTGAGAAGAGAGAGGGGAGCCGAGAGTCACTAAATGACTACTTATGCTGAACACTTTGCATCATCTCAGTTAATCCCCACAGCTGCCCTGTGAAGTGTCCCCACTTTACAGGCGAGGAAGCAAGGCTCAGACGGATTTAGTGATTTGCCAGTATCATAAAACATGTACGTGGCAGAGCGCCCACTTACATTAGGCACCTGCCTAACTCAGCCTGACCGTAGAAGAACAGAAAAACAGATAAACCCGTTATTAGATGCTGTGCAAACATTGTGTCATCATGTGGGGAAAAGGAGAAAAATTACAAAGGAACAGAGTATAACACTGTAAATAAACCATGGTTATTAAAAGTTTGTACACAGACTAGAGAAGTGACAAAAGGAAAAGTTTAATTGGTTATAGTGGCAGAATTTAAGTAAGTAGAATTAAGATTGCCATAGTCTTTCTGAATTTTTAAAGATTGTTTTTATGAAAAAGATATGATCATTTTGTATTTTCGAATGTGTTATTCATCACCCTACATCCTTCTAGAAGGTACTCGAGCTGTTATGTCTAGGTGCATCCTCTATTTTGTCATCACCGCCTACCCTTTAACTCTTGAAAACCCTTCTGTCAAGGTTCATCACCAGCAAAATCCATACCTCCTTAAACCCTCCTCTGTTACTTGCATCTTGTTAAAACCCAGACCTGCGTATACCCTGAAGACACCCCTTTCATGAAGCCCTCTGAGGTGGTAGCTCTATTTTGTGTTTGTTTTTTTGATTCAAGTGCCTCCAGGAGAAGGGGAGTGATGTCAAGTGTTGCCTACAGAACTGAAATGAGACTGAGAACTGTTGGATTTACAGCTTGTATTTAATTGGGGATTTTGATATGAGCAGTGGAATTGTTGGGCCACAGCATCTGAGTCACCTGGCTTCTAGGATGTACGACTTCTGTATTTTCCTCTTATTCCCCTGACCATTCCTCAGTCTCCCAGAACTCAAACCTTGGACGTCTTCTCAGTCTGCACTTAAGCCCATGTTCGTCATCATTAAATGTCATGACTGAAAATATCATCCATGTGCTGATGGCGCCCAGAGTTATCTCCAACCAGACCTTGCTCTTGACCGCCACACTTATGTGTCTGTCTAGAGCTTTCAGAGTATCTCCATTTCTATGTCTAATAAGGGCTTCCCTGGTGGCTCAGTGGTAAAGAATCTGCCTGCCAATGCAGAAGACACGGATTTGATCCCTGGGTTGGGAAGATCCCCTGGAGAAGGAAATGGCAACCGACTCCAGTATTCTTGCCTGGGAAATCCCACGGACAGAGGAGCCTGGCAGGCTGCAGTCCATGGGGTTGCAAAGAGTCAGACACGACTAAGCCTGAGTCCAAACTTAACTCCTGGCCTTACTTCCTTATCCGACTCCTCCAGACCTGCCCATCTCAGTCAATGGCATTTCCATTCCTTTAGCCACTCAGGCCAGATTCCCGACATTTTCTCACCTCTTCCAAACCCCTGCCATCTCATACCTGCCCGATGGCGGAGGCCTTCTAACTGGTGTCTCTGCCTCTACACCTGGCGCCTTCACAGTGTCCTCAACAAGCAACCAGAGTGATTCTTCTATAATCACCGCTGCTTTTCCACTGGTGGGCTGTGGTCCATGGGGTTGCAGATTTGGAGACAACTGAGCACATAAACTCATTACTCACCTTCTAACATATTATATACTCCATTGATTTATTGTAGATATCTTCTGTCTCCTACTACAACGTAAATTTTCAAGAGGACATTTTTATCTGGTCTCTTAATTGATTTATCTACAGCATCTAAAATAATGCCTCCACCTAAGAGACGCTGTGTTAAAAAATATGTTGAGGATATGAATGGTCAGTATGCAGGTGTCCCTGTTTCTGCCAATGACCCATAGATGCATGCAGAGAACTCTGCGTCGTAAGTTTTTCATTCCTTTTCCAATTTCTCAAGTGTTACAAACAGCATTCAGAAAATGACCACTGAGAAACACGGTGTCATGGGCTTGATTGTATGTGGTCTTTTATTCTCAGCTGACAGCAGCTCCTCTAGAATGTAGCAGTGAGTGTCACAAATGCTGAAAATGTACAAGCAGCATAGTAGATCCTTGACATTTTTAGGACTGTGTTCAAAGTTCTTCAAAAATCACCCAAGCTACGGCTACCATGATAATATGTCTGCGCTGATGAATTTCACAGGTGGCAGTAAAAAGAAGGAAGCCACCTGCTGCTCCAGATGCCAAGTGCCTTACTCACTGGAAGGGTCTCCCCCCAACACCAGTCCCCTCGGGCTCAGACTGTGTACCACAGCCACATCACAAATTATAGGAGCTTCTGAGCCCCCAATATCACTCACATATTCTTGAAACCAAGGGCATCAGTGAAAGCTAAGGGGCCACAGATTATTTTATTCCACCTGCACATTTTTAAAAACACTAATTTAAAAAACTAAGTTCCCCCGGCCACTCAACCTTGGTTTTAGAATATAATGTGTGGGGGCATCATTGCAACTAAATAACAGCAGGACCACTATCACAAGCCACATGTGCAACCATTTATAACACAGTGAGTTTTCACATCGTGTTTACACTCTTAAGTAAGCATTCATCCAATTTGATGTTGATCCTCTGGGAATAAACCCTGAATGTAAGCAAAAAAAATAAAAAGAAACTACACCTTTGCTTTCATTTTTAAGCTAATTTTTAAATATATATCCTAGTTCAGAGAAAAGCTTCTGCCACAGTGGCTCTCTTTTTTTTAATGTAATGCTCGGAAGCCTCTGACGGACAAGAGTGTGGGAGTAAGGGGAGGGGATGCTGTCGCCACGGTGACAGCTGTCCAGCGTAAGCGTTTCACAGCTCTTCCCTTTATCGTGTATTTTAGGCCAATTCAAGTTGCTGGAACAAGACCGAGATATAAAGGAGCCAGTGCAATATTTCAACAGCGTGGAGGAGGTGGCCAAAGCATTTCCTGAACGCGTGTACGTCATGGAGGAAATAACATTCAACGTGAAGGTAGCTCTGAGAGAACCACATATTTCCCTTTCCTAACCTCCTTTAGCTTTAGTGCTCATCTGCGCCTCTTCCTGTGGAGGTCCGATCTTCCTCGTGGGTTGGTGTCAATGGCTAAATCTGGTCTTACAAGAACTGTGCTGTAGCTGAGCTGACCACCCAACCTCCCACCCCCAGGTTCCTACACTTGGTTAGCATTATCTTTGGCTAGAATAACTGTTAAGGCAGATCAAAAGTGGTCTTGTTTTGTTTTTTTTCTCTTTTTTTGAAAACTCTGGACTTTATTCCCTAATATGTAATCATTTTTTGGGCCAGATTCTTGTGTGAGGCTAGATGCCCTGCTTGTGAGAGCAAGTAAAAGGCATTGGGTAAATCTGATACCACAGACTCACTTAGGAGAGAAACTTCAGAGCATGCCTTGACATGAGCATATAGTCTTTGTAGACTGTCCATGTTAGTCTACAGAGGAAAAGTTGAGGTCTTGAATGTGCCCAGTAGGTACTTACTTTTCTTTTATTTATTTTCTTTTGGCCACACTGGGTCTTCGCTGTTTGACATGGGCTTTCTCTAGTTGCGGTGCACGGGCTGCTCATTGCGGTGCTTTCTCTAGTTGCAGTGCGTGGGCTGCTCATTGCGGTGCTTTCTCTTGCTGCGGAGCACAAGCTCTGGGGCACGAGGGCTTCAGTAGTTGCAGCACGTGGACTCAGTAGTTTTGGAGCACGGGCTTACTTGCTCTCAGGCCTATGGAATCTTCGCAGACCAGGGATCGAACCCATGTCCCCTGCATGGGCAGGCGGACTCCTAACCAGCTGGACCACCAGGGAAGTTCCCCAATAGGTACTATTAGTCCTTGTTTATCAGAAAGAAGCTGAATAGTGTTCACTAGACTGCATTGGTTTTACACTCTTTAGTTTTATTTATTTATTTGGTCATGTAGCATGTGGGATCTTAGTTTCCCTACCAGGGATCGAACCTATGACCCCTGCATTGGAAGCATGGAGTTTTCACCACTCTGCCAGGGAAGTCCCCAGTTTTGCATTCTTAGAGGGACGGTTCCATCCTTTCCTACACAGCAAGCTAGCTCCTTGACAAAACCTGCTATTGAAGAAAGAAGAACCAGAGAAGCAATGCCACCAACCAGGTGCAACTTCGTTGCCCACAAACCCTCTGCATTTTCTTCAGCAACATCCACAATTACACTGACACATTTTCGAAAGTGTTCACATTGAAAGCATTTTCTCTTTAACCTCATTTCATTTCAGCGGGAAGTCCAACTGAGTCAGGATTTTCTCTGAAAATTTCAGTCTTGAGCAGATTCTGGTTTCTTAGAAATCCGCTCTATTTGAAAAACAGCCCACGTGGTGTCTTGGTCCAAAAATGCAAGTGTCTTTTCAGATGGGTCATTCCATCTACACTCCCAGAAAAGGCTGCAGATGCCCAAAACAGCTTCCTTAGTGCAAAAGTCAGCCCATTTAATTGGCTAGGCTAAATCATTCTTTGTTCCAGAGCTAAAGCACAGCACCATAATCTACTCCCTTTATTATTAAAATGGGTGAGATTTTGCATTTTGTAAAGTCTTTTACTAACCAAAGTATGCTTATGTTCAGAGTATTTATTATTTTTAACTCCTTCAGCAGCTCAGGCTTGTATTCATTTACAGCTAAAGATTGTGAGAACCTGTTCATTTTTAAACTCTCCGAGATTTGTTGGCCATAAGGTAATCAAATCCTGTTTCATCAGGATCTTGATTTAAATCTCTCCTTAAAATTTATTTAGAATTAACTGAAAGAAAAAAAAATTGTTTAGGATGGAAAGTTAATGCTGTAAAACTCTCTTCTGAAACATTTCATTTTGCTGGTAAATGATGAGAAATCAAACATAAATTTATTATTATTATTTTTTTTTACAATTTTCAAATATTAAAATCTAACATTCAGTCTTTGGTGGCATATTGTTTACATGAAAGATTTTTTTTAAATGCCATTAAATGCTGTTTCTTTGTGAATTTCTATTGGACCAGCAATGAATGAAAAAGTAATACTTAAACCAGTACATTTTGATAGGGATTTTTCCCCCACAGAATACCATGATTGGCTATATTGATTCAAATGTATGTAACAGAGATATCATTTAAAAGTTTAGCACAGTGGTGTGAAGGTACTTAACACTGCTAACTCGTATACTGAAAAATGGTTCAGATTGTAAATTTCATGTTATGTATGTTTTACAGCAGTTTTTAAAAAGCAAGTCAGTGGAATTCCTGCTGAAATGAGACTGAACAGAATCTGAGTACTTTCAATCTGAGTACTTTCTAAAATGTGTCAGAATAATTGTTGGTGTTACAAATAAGTGTATGGAGGAGTAGCTTATAGCATCCATAGAGCTGGTTGGATTGGGGTTGAGTTCTATGCTATGCATGCATGAATATTTTAATACCTCTGGTCCATCACTGATAAAGTTTTAAGATGCCTTCACATCCAGCCTGCACTAATCATTAAGACAGCTTTCGATTCTATTCAAGGAAGACCCAATGAGAAAACTTCAAGAAATTTATATAAAAAAGTACACACAAGTCTGTGTGCTTAGTGAGTAAACACGCACATAAATAAATAAACCAAGGAGATTTGGGGGAAATATTTCTGGAAACTGCCTGCATTTTAAAAGAAAATGTTGGATGCCATGGTCTTCTTTAAAACTTGATTATAATGTGCATTTATCGATATGCAGAGCTTAATGTCAAGAGCTCACTGGCAGCAAGGAAGTGCTATGCTTTGTTGTTACTTCCCCTGGAGAGGGAGAGAATAAATGAAAAACAGTACAACCTGTTCATAAATATAACTGTTACAAATATTGTTAAATATTACATAATATGAAATATAAATATTATTTAGGAAGCAGTTTTTTGAAGGATAGGAGGATTCACACTTCCTTGGAAAATTTATCTTCTTCTTTATGCTTCAGATCAGCGTAAATTAGACCAAGAGAAATGACTTACAGTTGAGAACTGGCAGCTAACTGGCATCATCATAGTCAAGAGGCACAGTTATTTTTTGAAATAAATATATATGTATGCACATTTATTCGTATATATTTACAAGTGCAAATTGAAGCATGAAAAGAATACAGAGTAAAACAGAAGTATTGAAAGAACAAGATCTAGTTTTGTTATTTTCAAGACTATAGCAAAAATTTACCTAAAATTCAATGGATCACATTAGTACTATTTGAGGAGGGCATGGCCACCCACTCCAGTATTCTTGCCTGGAGAATCCCCATGGACAGGGGAGCCTGGCGGGCTACAGTCCATGGGGTTGCAAAGAGTTGGACATGACTGAGCAACTAAGCACACATATTAGTACTATTTACACATTTATTTCAAAATAAAGTATTCCTTTTATCTTGAGCTAGAGAAAATATGTCTTTAAAAGATGACTTGATATTTAAAAATTATCTACCTGATTGCCCCATGGTTGATGAACTGCATGAAATGAGTTAATATATATTAAATATTTAATTCTTTAAGCAGCAGATATATTTTGAGCCCCTACTACATGACCAGCCTCATTATAGGCCCTGGGAGTAAATATCAAATATATAAATCCATGCCTGCGTGGAGATTACATTCTGCTCAGGAGGCAGAATGTAAATAAGCAAATACAGACACTATTATGTTGGCCCAAAAGTTCGTTTAGGTTTTTCTGTAAGATGATACAGAAAAACCCAAACAAAGTTTTGGGCCAACCCAATACCTCCAAATAAAGACATAAAGACAGTAGATAAACAGGTCTGGAGCTTGGGGTATAATATATATTGAGGGCTTATCAGCTCCTTGATGGCATTTGAAGCCATGGGGCTGAGTTCACCTACATCTCAACTGAGGGTGACCCACCCCACACCCTCCCAGGGACAGTTGACAGTGTTTGGATACAATTTTGACTGTCACAGCTTGGGAAAGGGATGGGGGCTACTGGTATCTAGTAACAGAGGACGAGGATACTGATAAATGTCACAGGACAGGCCCTATAACAAAGCATTAATGAGCAGAAGCATCCAGACCACCAAGCTTGAGAACCCCTAACCTAGAGACTAGATGAAGAGTGGAGATCTGAGAAACAAGCCCTGGAGCTCTCCAGCCCTGGGGTCTAGAGGAGACAGAAAGGAGTAATCGGTAGAAAGACAGTAGAACACGTGAGACCCCGGCAGCCAGAGGGCGATAGTGTTTCAGAGAAGAATGGGCACTTGTGTCCAATGGCTAGTGATGGAATTGGATAAGGACTGGGAACTAACCATTACATTTAGTAAAATGGGAGTCTTTGGAGGCTTTGAGAGGAAGGAAATAATAATCAGCTCGGAGACCCAGAAAGCAGTTAACCAGGGAAGCATAGTAGGATGGTCCCAGGGTTCTGTCAAAATAAATTTCAAGTGAAATTACTTAGCACCAGCTTCTTTTCCTTCCAGCCATGTTCAGCAGGTAAGTTGGGTTTAGTCTGAGTCAGGCTTTACCTAGCAGAGTAACAGAGGTCAGCGAAGGCACAGATGAAGTGCCCAGGAGTGGCAGGTAGCAATGAGCCGTGGACTTTTCACTGGGTAAGGAAGTGTGAATGCGATCAACGGGATCTTGGAGACCCTGATGAAGCTAAGAGGCTTCCAGTGTGGGTTACGAAAGCGAGGGGAGACAAGGAGTAGCGAGAGAATGTAGAATGCTTGGATTAACCTTGAGGCAGTAACGTAGGAAATGACAGGAGCAGCTGTCTCTTCAAATCTAAATGTGCCTTTCTGAGTCGGCAGTCGAGGTGGGGGGAGCAGAAAATGGGAGATGAGTAGGTCAAGAAAATGAAAGAATATGTGGGCAGGTAACCGCTTGCTGATCATTTTGTGTGTTTCCTCCAGCCCCTCCTAAGCTAACGGCATTCAGTGTTTTAAGAACAGCAGTCACCTGCCTCATTCACCACTTTTTCTCTCTATTAATAACATCCAGCTTTTGGTTTCCATGGTGAGAATCT